TAGGTAGGTAGGTAGGTAGGTAGGTAGGTAGGTAGGTAGGTAGGTAGGTAGGTAGGTAGGTAGGTAGGTAGGTAGGTGGTTGTGTGGGTTGGTAGGTAGATAGATGAAAAGTGGTAAAGCATGTTGAATGTTTGTTATAAATTTACATAAACATAATAAAGGTAATTAATGAACTAAGATTATACATTGACTGTTCATGTTGTTACACTCTTTAAATAAACAAAACAAATCAATTATTCATTAGGATACTTTAAACACACACTAAGCTACAAGTGCAATAAATTAATAAAATTTAAAAATAGCATTAAATAAACACGATTTTATAAGATCAGTTATTTTGTGCAGTAATTATGTATTTAATGTTTGGTTTAGGATAATTCCTTTAATTTTTAATTAGATATATCAGCACGTGATTGTTTATAAAGTGGTTGCACTTTTTATTAATGTTTAAAGTGTAATTTAGGTTAAGACTTAGCTATGGACAATAACATAAAAAAATGTACAAAAGAAAAAAAATCTATATTTTTTAAACTCAGTCAAATTTATGAGAAATAATCATGTTTGTTGTTTTAAAGTTTGTCCAGAAAATCTACATGTAAAGTCAGTAACTGAAAAGCTGTGAAGGTATTTCATTGTGTAAAACGTTTGAACGTCCACTAGAGGGCAGCAGATAGGACAGCCTTAGAAACCTGTCACACAAAATCCTTTTTAATGAAATTTAATCAAAAATAACTGGAAACATTTCTGTTCTTTGTTAAATCTCCTAATGAGTTCAAGCTGAGCAGAAAGTTGGATTAAATCAGAAAAATAAAACACACAAAAAGTTATACAGTTGAAGTTTTGGCCAAAATGTTATTTTATTTGTTTTAAAATTATAATAAAGTGTTTGTTATCATCGAGGTCTTACAGCTGATAGTCTGTCCAGACCTGGTCTGCAGACATGATGGATCTGCCAGATTTGTGCTGCTAAAAGAGAAGGAGAGCTGTTTACTGTCTGTTACATAAAACTTTTTACTGACTCAACCACCCAGACACTCTAAACTGAACGAGTTTGTTTAGCTAGCTGTCAGTTTGATTATAGAGGAAAAAAGATTTCTGAGGCTTGAATCACAAACCTCACCTTTCGGCTGCTTTAGAGGTCAGATTGCAGATGTGACAGAAGGCTGGGTGTCTGTGAAACTGTAGAAGTGGTTCAGACTGTTTACCTAAATGTGACAGTGTAGGTGAACAGGTTTGTGTAACATTTGGGTTTGTTTTAACACAACCTAACTTTGGCCGTCGTTGCTTCAGCGTCGTGGAGCAAACGTTCTCTGAGAGTTGCTGGCAGGAACAAACAGTAGTGTCAGGTGTCAGAGCTGTGGCTCAGAGGAGTGAAACGGTAAACAGAGGAGACCCCGTGCTGTAAACACCGATCTGCATGCAGCACTTCTCCACACGACGTGTTTGTGCCCGTTTGGACAGCTGACACAAAGGAGCAAAGACAACAGGAAACCTGAGCTGAACACCCCCAAAAAACACAACCTGAGCCCACGTCTCTGAAAAAAACAGGAGCCGCCACCTTCGGAGGCTCCTCTTGACCTCTGACCCTTCAGATGTGTGTCGGAAACCTCCGCTTGTCGTCTCCTGTGACGTTTACAGCTCTGTGGTTTGAAAAGAAACACAACTTGACAGCTTAAGATTCTGTTTGTTTTCTCAGTGCAATCCAAGTACTTCTGAATGTACGATTTTACTCGTGTGAAAATGTTTGTGTCATTCAGGAAATATGTGCTATGACTTTTTGTTTTTAACCTTTTTTTTTATTACAAAAACTTTGCCCATAGAAACACAACACACACACACAACAGCACACGACGCTAACTTGCTTCATATTTTCTCTTTTTATGCTACTTTTAGAGGCTTAGCTAACGTTCTGTCACTTTCAGGTTATCCTAATAGTTGTGAAACATGTTCTTCTGCTGTTGTAAAACATGTTAAGGTCATATGTTTTCACACTTTAGTAGCTTTAGCTTTTAGCTCCCATTCTGCTACTTCATGTTTTAGCTACCATTCTGCTGCTTCATGTGCTGTTGTAAAACATGTTAAGGTCATATGTTTTCACACTTTAGTAGCTTTAGCTTTTAGCTCCCATTCTGCTACTTTAAGCTCCCACTCTGCTCCTKTTACCTCTTTGCTACAGTTGAGCTTGTTTCAGCTGTTTTAGCTTTAACATCTGTTTTACAGTTTAGCTACTATTTTACCTATTTTAGGTACAATTTTGTTACTTTTAGCTTTTGCAACAACTTTGTTTCATTTAGGTATTGTCTTTACAAATTTTATCAGCTGTTTGGCTTAATTTAGGTATTGTTTTGATAACTTTAGCCAGTCCATGATACTACATTTATTTAAATTTTTACCAATCTTAGCATCTGTTCTGCTACTTTTAGCTACTGTGTTGCTAATTTAGACTTTGTTTTCTAACTTTAGCTACATTTCTGCTGAGTTCAGCATTTGTTTTGTTTGTTTTAGCTATTGTTTTGCTAACTTTAGCCAGTCCATGATACTAAATTTATCTATATTTTTTTTATCAATTTAGCATCTGTTCTGCCACTTTTAGCTACTGTATTGCTAATTTAGACTTCTGTTTTGCTAATTTTAGCTACTTTTCTGCTGATTTCAGCATCTGTTTTGCTTGTTTTAGCTACCGTCTCACTTGATTTACCTTTAACAATATAGTTTTAGTTTTTCCCACAGATTTCAGCCCAGTCATTTAGCACTAACTCATTTTTCCAGTTTTATTTTAATGTCAAAAGAAAAAAAAATGATTCTGAAACAACGCAAGTTACGGTTGTGGCTGCTGGAGGAAACTGAAATGAGCCGAAGCTGAGTATCTCTGGGTAAACTGGTTRCACTTCATACATTTTTCATGTCCTTTCCAAACGTTTTAGGCATATCAGAACCTCCGCCTGTTTTCACTCTCGTGGCTGAGGCAAGAAAAGGATTTGGTGTCGGTCTTCACTGTAATATATCGGCCTTTCCTTTCATCTTGGCTCCGATAAAGACCGGGGGTCGATGTTAATCAAAGAAAAGCCACAGAAGAAGGAATTAAACAGCCTCTGGTTCTCTTTTAACTACAAATCAAACTTCCATAACTAACTTTCCCTCAAAGAACAGGAATCAACAAAGACCTGAACCTATCACTTCTGTGTGTTTGGAGCAAAATAAACACTTTCACTCTTTGTTATAGCCTCTGAATTTTGAAAGAAGCAGAAATAACAGCTAAACATTGAGGTTTTTATACATTTATTCACATTTACCTCCTATTTTCTTGTAGTGGACAGAAAGAGTTCTGTTGTGCTGTGAGTTTTCCTCTCAGTGGGGTGAGGTTAAGATAATTATTTATGGTTTTCCCAGAGGAAACTTCTCCCACGCCCCGTGTAACTGATTGTAATGAGAGAAAATTGCACCAAATTATCTCATGTGTAGATTAAATTATAAAAGCAGGCAGTTTTATCCGTTCCTCCTTTAGTCCTGGGGTTTCTGATGAGACAGATTCTTTGTGTAAGACGAGCTGTGAACACTTATCTGATGGTTCTTCCAGCTTCTAAGTGGAGTTGATTTATGTGGGAGGGGGTTTTATTCCTCAGCCTTGGAGTTAAACAAGACAGTCTTTATAAGTTTTATTAAAGCTCAAACTGTTTAAAAATATCACAACCTCCCAACTTTTAAGGATTTGTTTAAAATTTGGATTTAGTATCTTCCTAATTTCAAACACATAAAATGGATTTTTATTAGAAAATGAGCTGTTTTTTTGTTAATCAGTTGTTTGACGTTGAGATAAGTGGCAGTTTGATTTTCCTGCAGCTCGGTTCAGATGCGTGGAGAGGTTCTGCAGGTTCTGGGTCATTCGGAGTCGCTGCTCCTCCCGCCTGCAGCTGCAGCTCTGCGCCTCGGATCAGCCGAGCAGCTGCTGAGCTCCGCAGCTCCAAGTCCGACTTAAATAAACCCGAAAGGGGGAAACCGGGTTAAAGGTTAGTCTGCGTGAGGAAACTGAGCTCACTCTGTTTGCTGGAAGGAGTCGCACGCTGCAGACTGCGCAACGATGAGTCCTGGAGCTGGTTTTAATCATCTGCTGTGCTTCGTGTTTTTACTCCCTGACGTCCTGAACACACAAACAGGTAAGAAAACTTCTTCACATCTCTTTGTGTCTGATTCATTTTTTAAACTCAGCAGCCTAAGTTCATCTAATATTCCTTTAGCTGTTTTTATTCCTCTGCCTTAAAGAAAATGACCCCTTAAAGCTGTCATTCCACATCTTATTGAGCTAAATGTGATATAATCTGGATGAGATGTCATTTCATTTTAGACGTCACAAACAGGAAGTGGACTGTCAGACTTCCTGTTCAGGTGATGAGAACCACTGATCACAGCACTAAGTTCTGCAATTAGACTTTATAATAATAAAATAAATAAAAATATAAAAACAAAAATATAATAATAATTATAGATCTACGTGCAATAATTACACCCTGAAATTTTGGTTGAAATCTGCCCAGTGGTTCATGAGATATTTTGCTAACAGACAGAGAAACAAACTCAGCTGCTTTCGCCCTGCACCAAAGTTTCCACTGGTCGCTGCAAAGTTTTCAGATCCAGGATTTATTCGGTGTCTGTTTGCAGCACTCCCTCCTGAGTGTGCTGCTGGTGGCCACACGGTCCTGCAGGACCCCCAGCGCAGCCCCACCTTCAGCTCCAGCAGGCTGCAGGACCCGGTCTGCGACCACTCCCTGACCCCAGGCTGGTACCAGTTTCAGGTTTCTAACAAGCGGGCCAGCATGCCCACTCAGTGTGTGGAGGTAAGACACGAGTTTATGTTTGCTTCTCTGCTTCGTTTCTTTACCTGAACGTGTTCACCTGCATCYTCCAGGTGGACCACTGTGGGACTCAGGCTCCGGTGTGGCTGTCCCTGGGCCACGGTGAGTCCCTGCCGGGCCCGCTGGAGGTGCGGCAGCTGACGGCCTGCGCTGCCTGGCAGATGTTTCAGAGCAGCGTCAAAAACTGCTGCACGTTTCGTATCCCGGTCACCGTCCGCAACTGTGGAGGTTTTTACGTTTACCTGCTGCGGCCCACGCAGGGCTGCACGGGCTACTGCGCAGAAGGTGGGTCAGAGCGAAACGCTGTGATTGTAACCTGGAGTTTATTGCTGGTGTTTGGTGTTGACATAATCAAATCTTAAAACAAAAGAAAAAGAGTACAGGTGGCTGCAAAACTAATAAAGTTTTTTTTGTTTGTTTTGCAGAGATGCCAGAGACTGTACCTCCAACGTCACTTACCTGTGGTGCTGATGAGGTGAACATCGATGGAGCTTGTAAAAGTAAAAAAAACTTCTTCCTTCTTTGCGTCCTAAAGTTGTCCCCTCGAGTTCGACCCAACACCAAAACAACCAGGAGGTGGAGGAGCTGCGGTGTGTTCAGGAATGCACCAACGGCCTCTTTCCCTGCTCCTCTTAATGACCTGAACATGTGTTCATGGGCTCTCTGAGCCCCGTCTCCATGGCAGCTCCCCTCGTTGAGATTTATGCCAAGGAAGGAAAGCATGTTTCAAAGGACAGGGGGCCGATTACAGATACATTTAAAAATAACTAGAAAAATTGCATTTCCTGTGAAAATGCTAATGTGAATGTTTATTGCTGAAAACTTTAGATGAAAGCTGCTGAAATGGAGCTGAAAATGTTTAATGGAACAACGGTTAATGCAAGTCCAATTTGAAAAGCAGAAAGAAGGATAAAAAAGTTTAACTTAGCAAATTAATAACTTTAAAGAGCAGAAAGATAGCTCAAAAGGGAGAAAAAAAGCTACAATTACTGCAAAAAGAAGCTAAAGGTCGCAGACACCAGTTGAAAATAGCACCCAGATCGGAACAGGGGTATAAAAAAAGTCTAATTAACGAGAAAAAAGCATAAAAGCACAAAGATATTGACAAGTTGTTGTAAAATAGCCTAAACATTCCGTAAGTGCWGTAAAACAGATAAAATATAGCTGAAATTTCTTAAATTGGCATAAAGAAGAGCACAAGTTTACTGAACTAAGCATAGAAAAGCTGAAATAGCCACCAAAATGTGAATTTTCAAAACAGCAAACTTTAGCTAATAACACCTGAACATCAGCTAAAATTGCAGCAAATAGCTGATAATAGCAGAAAGCAACTGTAAGAAGCATAAATAGCTCAATTTGGCATAAAAAAGCACCAAAAAAGCAGAAATTAGCAGAAGCATGGAGAAATAAACAGAATTACAGCTGAAATAGCAGAAAAAAGCTAAAGTTACCCAAAAAAAGAAGCTAAAATTAATGCAGGGAAGTTAAAAAAGAGCAGAACCAGAACACAAGGTTTAAGGTGCTGGATAGGTTTATAAACATTTTGAAGGATATTAAGGATGTTGAAAACAACTCCATTCATTTTCATTTGGAAAAAATGTCAATAGCTAAAAAAGTATAAATAGCTGAAATACCAAAAGTCATAACTGAAATGTCCTGAAGGAGCTGAATGTTTTGATGTATGAACTGTTAAAATAGCACAAAAATTGCAGAATGAGATGCGTGCCAAAATACGTCTGGAAGAAAAAAACGATCTCAATGTGTGAATGCTTGTGAAGTGTTCACACTATGAACATATTTAATCAATCAATCAATCAATCAATCAATCAATCAATCAATCAATCAATCAATCAATCATCAATTCTAAAACCAACTTTTCTGTTGTAATTCCAACATGGACCTTGTTGAGTGTTTGGTGGTTCAGGCAAACTGAGTGAAGCTACATTTATCTTTCCATTTCTTTCAGTCAATCAGCCTCCGGCTCCGTCGGTGCCGGCGATCGTCTCAGAGGTGACGGGTAACACCGTCCACCTGAAGTGCAGCTTCCAGAGCAGCCTCAGCAGCTCCCTGGGCTTCGTGGTGGCCTGGTCCCGCCTCTCGTCTGAGGGCAGGAAGGAGGAGCTCAAACAGGAGACCACCGTCCACACCTCCGCCCTCATCGAGCTGGACGGCTTCAACCTCCGCCTGGGGGACAAGGTGTGATTCTGGGCCGCTGTGTGACTTTTAACCTGAAAATGAAAGGAGTCAGTCAGACCTCTGCCTGGTTGAAATGATGTGGAAGCTCCAGAGACAAATGTCTGCAAACCTCAAGGAGCCAAATGTTCCACAACCTCCCTCACACCGAAGATCACTGTGACCTCCTCATGGGTGGATTCATTTAGGCTTTTCACGTGGGACACTTCATGCTATTAGTAAGGAAAAAGTTTAAAAGTTTTATACTATTTTAAAACAATTCCATGTCTTGCTGTCTCAGATTTATTGCTCCAGCTCCAGTTTCTTCTTGGACTCACCAGATGTGCGAAGTGCTTCTGTGGAAAGTCAGGAGTTTTTTGCTGGCATTYGGGTATTTATCATTTTAATTTTCTCTTTGTTTACTCTGTTACTCCATTCTTTACGTCATGACAGTAAGTATAAATATATGTAAATATATGATATTTTTAATATTTAAGATTAATGCAAGCATGTAATAAAAAATAAAAAACAAAAACACAACAGATAAAATTAAACATATTTGAAAAAGAAGGGGAAGAATTAAACACTTACTTATTCCCACCCTCCTCAAAACCTCCTGATTCTAAATCACAAAGTAAATATTTTAGTAAGACCAAAACATTAATCAGTTTACCTACTAAATTATGTAACAATTATACATACAAGCTTTATACGTACACCTACACCTTCACATATATATATATAC